ATATATATATATATATATATATATATATATATATATATATATATATAAGGGGAATCTGCGAGTGTGAAAAAAGTTGTCAGCTTTAATGTTTTTCTTTACCTTCATTTGATGCCATGTTATCAGATAATGTGGTTATACTTATTTATTTTCTTGGTAGAAAAAATGCAGATTGCCTAAAGAAATAATGAGAAATGTGTGTATATTAATTAAATGGCTATTGTAAAGACGGAAATATATTTTAAACAGGCAGAAAACAAGAATTAATATATAAATAGAAAAACAGAAAAACAAATTACATCGCAATGGAGGAAAGACTTCGCTAATGACATCATGATCAACATAAACCCCCGAAAAGCTTAGCATTGCGTTTTTAATAAAGAAAAAAAAAATCTGAACAAATTTACTTACCAATTTTAAACGATGTGAGCTGATACAACAGTAAGCCCAAGACTAAGACCAACTACAACCACTAGTTTGCGTCTTGTTGAAACAGTCCTTATCGTCGTCAGTAGGCCTATTGATATGCAAAGATATATATATATATATAGGCATATATATATATATATATATATATATATATATATATATATATATCAGTGGTGACGTCATCACTTTTATTTGCACATAATTTTGCTATTCCCGACTGATCACTAATTCAATATAGTGCAAAAAGCTCAAAGCTGGGGTGATTTAGGAGCCAATATTTTCTTTAAAAATTGCCTCCAGCCCTACGGGATTCATGCAATTTTTTCAGGGAATAATAGCTCCTACGGCTTCTATTTCCTATAGTGTACACAAAACCTGACAATATGAATTTTAACAATTAGCTATTTTGGTACTTTATTTTCAGCCACAAAGGATATTTATTCATAATTTTACATTAATTACAACATGTTTCCTCTAAAATGAACCTTGAAAGATATTACAAATACATTTTTAACTTTAATAGTTTCTTTATAATTTTTCCCAGGTTATTTAATTTATTAGAGCACTAGTGTTTATCTTCTTACATTGTTTAAAGAAAGTTGCTTAAAATAATATTACAATCACCAATCAACATTCGATGGATTGACAAGTGAAGTGAACGTAAGAAGATAACAACATTTTAAGATGTTTCCAAAAATTCTGAGCCTCTTTACTTAAAAAATAACATATGATTATAATCACCTTCGATCTGAAATAATTTGCAGGTTGTTCAGAAATTGTCTACAGTTTTTTTTTCTTTTTGAATAGTATTAAAAGCTTGAATACAAATTTTTAATTAAAGTTAAAATCTAATTTTAGTCTTCGGGATCTGGAATAAGGCATTAGCCTTTTTAACGCCATCCATTTATCTTATTTTCCATTAAAATTGTATATTAAAGACGGAGAATTGTAGAGTAAAAAAAATAAAATTAAAAAATTAAAATTAAAATTATATAATCAAAAAATTGTACATAATTAAGATTTTTTGTTTGTTTTTTAACATTTAATCTCTCATTGTTATATCCTTTTCAGTGTTTGTATCTAATGCATTGATTATTTATTATAACACTAAGTGTATCTATTCTAAAAATTAATTTATGTTATTTTTTTTTTTTTTATTCATTCATATATTTATTCATGTCTACTCTATTTGTTGTATTCACATGGTGATTTATTGTACGATGTTATATTATACTTATCAAAGAGGGCTCCTGAACACCAGCCTCCCTTCGTGGAAGTTGAAAAGGCTACCCTCTTTAAATATTGTTGAAATGGAAAATAAAATAAAATAAAATTGGTAGCCAAATTTTGTTTTCATTGCTCTGTCTTTTTTGAGAAGATCTTTAAATGAGTATTGTTTAGTGGGTGATCCTCACAGAGAAAGAGTGACTTCTAACATTTAAACGAGCTCGAGGCTTTCTTTAATCCATAATATTGAAAAAAGATGTTTAATGTGTAAACGTATATTATAAACTGAAACTCCATGAGACATAATTAATCGGATATATTGTTTTAAAAATAAACATAATATGATGCTTTGTTATAATGGCGTGTTTATTTTGTTCTACAAAGTGTATTTCACTTAAATTGTCAAACTATATGTCTATAGCAAATACAGTCTGCGGGTGTATTTCATTTGTGTTGTTTCCATTTAAATGATGACAGATGTTTTTAATTTTAATATTAGCAACGCAATATAAACATCTAAACATGTCAACTTAGCTGTATACCCAATTTTTCAAGAGGACGTAAATTTTTTATAGTATACTGCGCTTTATAGCAGGATACTCTGTAGTCGATCGAAAAGTGATGTATTATTATATCCGTAGAGGTCAAGCATGGATTCGGGCAACAGGTCAAGCTCTGCGAGAGCCTATTTTTACTAAAAATAGCAATAGCAATGGCGATAGCAATAGCGATATCAATAGCGCTAGCGATAGCAATAGCAAAAGAAATAGCAATAAACAATCTCAAACCCTGAAGATTTTTGCAAGATGTTCAGATGTAAACGTAATAAATGTAATGATGATATTATTATTATTATTATTATTATTATTATTATTATTATTATTATTATTATTATTATTATTATTATTATCATTATTATTATTATTATTATATTTCTCGTTGTCGTAATCGTCATCGACGCCGTCGTCGTCATTATCATCATCACGTTATAATTATTATTATTAGGCCCTATTATTATTATTATTATTATTATTATTATCATCATCATCATCATAAGGTCTCCCCCAACGGGGGGGGGGGAGTGAACCCCTTGCCGGGGAGCTTGGACTCCTCGTCAGGGAATTCCTGGTGCCGCACTTGGAAGTGATTGATTTTTTTGATTTTGAAGGCTGTTGTTAAAGGAGCATCTAAAACAGATTGGGAGAGTTCATTGCATTCAGTGATAGATCGTAGGAAAAAGGAACATCTTTATATTTGGTCTGAGGTGATGATTAAGGTGGCTTCATGCAATTCACGGTAATTTTGTGTTAAACATAGCAGTTATTGAAACGCTTTAGAAAACGCAAATTGCGTTAACATAAGGAACATCTTAACATGTTTGTGGTCCGAGGTGATGATTAAGGTCGCTACTTGCTGCTGATGGAATAAATCTTTAACTTGCTGCGTAATTTAATAGGATGAAGGCGAAAAATATTCATGCAAAATTCACGGTAATTTTGTGTTTAACATAGTTATTAAAACGCTTTAGAAAACGCAAATTTCGTTAACATAAAAGTTTAATTACCAGTTTAATATTCAAACTTGTAAGATGACGTACGTCATATTTTCATATGCACATCTTTGATATATGGTCTTTGCTTGGACAACGTTTGAGAAGATCAAAAGTTCGGAAAGTGACCAAGTGCCGGACAGAAAAACGTTACAAAAATCATCATTTGATAATTTGTAGCCTGGTGGTTGTTTAATATTATAAGCTTTCTGAGCGTCCCTTCATGGCTTTGTGATTTTCTGAACTAATAACAATTTTTGTGGTAATAGATCGGGTGACTATTAAAATCGGCACTTGCTGTAAGATATATTTGTTGATTTTCTTTTTCATTGTGGAAGGCGCTCTACAAATATCCTACCATTGCCATTACCATGAAGGGTATTTTTAAAACGTTTGCGCTTATTTATAATGCGTCTATTGCAATTTTCACTTTATCCTCTCAAACAGTCCTAAGAACGTTTAGAGTGCGCTACTTCACAGGGGGATTCGCCCCCTTGACCCCGCGTAACCCTTGA